GTACACAAATGTTCAGAACAGCATTCTTCACAATAGGCAAAAGGTGGAAACAACCCAAATGTCAATCAACAGATGAATGGATAAAGAAAATGTGGTATATACATATAATGGAATATTACTTAGCCTTAAAAAGGAATGGAATTCTGACACATGCCCCAGCATGAATGAACCTTGAAGACATTATACTAAGTGAAAAAAGCGAGACACAAAAGGACAAATATTATATGACTCCACTTATATGAGGTACCTAGAAATGGCAAATTCATAGAGATGGAAAGTAGAATGGTGGCTATGGAGAGCTGGGGAAGGGGGAGAATGGGGAGTTATTATTTAATGAGTACAGAGTTTCCGTTTTGCAAGATGAAAAAGTTCTGGAGGTGGATGGTGGTGATGGTTGCACAACAACATGAATGTACTTAATGACACTGAATTGTACACTTAAGAATGGTTAAAATGGTAATTTTTATGTTATGTGTATTTTACCACAATAAAAAATTGATATAAAAAAAATCCAAAGTCTCATGACAAATTATGAAAATGTCCAAGTTTCAAGTGAAATTCACGCATACCAAAACCCAAGAAGATCTCAAACTGAATGTAAAAGGACAATCAATAGATGCCAACATCAAAATGACAGAGATGTTAGAATCATCTGACAAAATTACCCTATGAATGTGCAATTTAAAGCAGACATGATAAAAATACTTCAACAGGCAATTATGACTACACTTGAGACAAAGGAGCTTATGTTACTACTTAATGATAAAAACATGATTAAAAAAGTTCCATTCAACTGTTTGGTGGTTACTAGGGGCTGGGGGGTGGGGGGTGGGCACAAGGGGTGGAGGGATGCACTTATATGGTGACTGACAAACAATAATGTACAACAAAAATTTCACAATAAAAAAAAAAGTTCCATTCAAAAGCAATATTTAATAATTTTAAACCTGCATGCAACTTATAACATAGCCTCCAAACATGTAAGGCCAATGACAGAATTATAAGAGAAACAGACAAATTCACAATCATAGTAGGAGATGTTTTTCATAAGCTTCTCAGTAACTGATGGGAAAAATATATAAGAATAAAGATTCAAACAGCATGATTAACAAATCTAACCTAATGGGTGTGTTGAGCTATATATATTATCACATACAACAACTGGAGAGTACTCATTATTTTCAAAAATACAGAGAATATTTACAAAAATTTTCCACATACTGGGTCATAAAGCAAGTTTCAACAAATTTGAAAGGCCTGAAGTTGCAAGAGCATATTCTCTGACCGCACGCAGTGCAATTAAGCATTTGTTAAGAAACAATCACAAGACGATAACCGGAAAATTCTCATATGCTTGGATAAGAAACATACTTCTGGACAACTCATGGCTTAAAGAAGAAATCAGAATGGAAACTAGAAAATACTTTGAACTTGATAGCGAAAATACTAAATATCAAAACTTCATGGACGCAGCTATTTAGAGGGAATAAAGAGCCTTAAATGCATTTAGGAAAGAAGGTTGAAATGAGATTAAAAAATTAATCTTAGTAAATCAGAAAAAGAACAGCTGCAATGAACACAGGGGTGCATGTATCTTTATGCATTGGTGTTTTCAAGTTCTTTGGATAAATACCCAGCAGTGGAACAACAATAAACAAACACATAGAGACAGAGATTGGATTGGTGGTTACCAGAGGGGAAGGGGGGAGGGGGGAGGGCGAAAGGGATAACTCGGCACATGCGTGTGGTGATGGGTTGTAAGTAGTATTTGGGTGGTGAACATGATGTAATCTATGCAGAAACAGAAGTATAATGATGTACACTTGAAATTTATACAATGTTATAAACCAATGTTACTGCAATAAACAAAAAATTTTTAAAAATAAATAAAAAAATTTAAAAAGAGAAACAGATGACTGCTGAGCAGATAGCTAAAAAAAGAAAAAGAAAAAGAACAGCAAAATAAACTCAAAGAACATGCAAGTAAGAGCAAAGCAGGAACTTCCCTACTTAAAAGGCCATAGAAATTATACGTAAGGGCTTGGTTTTTTTGTTTTGTTTTGCTTCACTTCGCTTTGCTTTGTTTCAAGGAGTTACTCTAGGAAGGCTTCCTAGAGGGAATGTATCTGAGCATTTTCTATATCCTTTCCAGTCCTTTTTTTTAATAAGTTGTGGCAAAATATACATAACATAAAATTACCATTTTTAACCATTTTAAGCATACAATTCAATGGCATTAAGTACATTCACAATGTTATTGCAACCATCATCACTGTCTATTGCCACAGCTTCTTCATCATCCCAAACAGAGACTCTGTATCCATGAAACAATAACTACCTAGTGCCCCCTCCTCCCAGGCCCTGGTAACCTCTATTTTTACTGTCTGTCTCTCTGAATTTGCCTTTTCTAGGTACCTCACACAAGTAGAATCATATTATATTTGTCCTTTTGTGCCTGGCTTCCCTCAGTACGTTTTCAAGGTTCATCCATAATGTAGCATATGTCAGAATTTCGTTCCTTTTTATGGCAGAACAATATTTCATTGTATGTATATACCACATTTTGTTTTTTAATAGCATTTCAGTCCTCCTCATTATTCCTACTATCTTATAAAAATATTATTGTTTACTATGAGTTTATTTAAGTTTTTGCTATTTTGCAATACTCCAAGCAACAAATCACAAGTTCTTGTTGTGAATTACAAATTTGCTATTACTTGGTTTATAGAGGAGAACACAAAGGAAAAAATGGATTTTACACTGCACATTTTCCACAAATACATTTCTATGTTGTTTATAATCTCTTTTTATTAAACTCAGATTCTCTATTTGTTTTAAGATTGACTTCTGCTACCTTTCTCTCAGCTGGGCCAAAAGAAAAGAGTAACACTAGCATATGTGAATAGGCAAAATGCCATTTAAATTAATATGAAACAACCTCTCCTTACAAGGGAAACTTCACATGCCCACCAAAAATGCTCCAGGGAAACACACTCCAGTGTACATTTCAACAGGCTGACGTTTCGTAACACGTGAAAAGTCTTTTGAATAAATGAGACATTTTCAATCCTTTCTCATCCAATCTGGTATCTAGTTTCCTAGGCATTTCAGTTCATGTTCAATTTCAAATTGTATAATATTTATCTCAGTTCTTGTTCAATTTCAAATTTAGATTATTCATCTTTTTGGTTTTCCTTCCTCTTCAAAAAAAATAAATAAATTAAGAGTGGGAAAAGGAGGGCCGGCCCCGTGGCTTGGTGGTTAAGTGCGCGCGCTGCGATGCTGGTGGCCCGGGTTCGGATCCCGGGTGCGCATCAAGGCACCGCTTCTCCGTTCATCCTGAGGCCGAGTCCCACATACAGCAACTAGAAGGATGTGCAGCTACGACATACAACTATCCACTGGGGCTTTGGGGGGAAAAAAAAAAAAAAAAAAAATCTTTAAAAAAAAAAAAAAAAAAAAAAGAGTGGGAAAAGGAAAGGAAATTAAATTCAATCTGGCCAATTCAGCAGCCTATTAATAATGCTATTATATATTGAAGTATGACAAATTACTGGCTAAAAAGTAAGGTTTGGGGTAAAAAAAAAAAACGTACAGCTACCAAGTTCTCTGAGAACCTTTTAACTTGTTTCATTCTATGAGCTTTCCCTCTTTATATTTTGTGTATTTTATGCTATATGAAGATACTATTTTTAGCACCTATTTTTCTTAGCTTCCCTGTTTATATTTTCGCATATATGTACACCGTATCACTTTGGATTCCTGGCGGGGAGAAAACACAGCAAATCTACCTTCCCCCCAAATGCAAAATATGAATATAAAGTGGAAAAAATTACCAACAGTATAAATCTTCAAAAAGTACTTTTCCTTATATCCATAAATATCTGAGAGAAATTAAAATCCTCTGGGAATCTAAAATTGGTCAAGGAAACAGATGTTTGAATTCTCCTAAGTATAGCACAGGGAATAAAGCTTGACACCAATAACAATTCCAACTGAAGTATATTTCAAAAAGATTGTCTGACTATATCTTCAGAAAATTTGAAGATAAAATGTTTTTACTCCTCCTTCTTTGTAGGAATTTTTGAGGTTTTAGGGTTTTTTAAAAAAAATAAAACTTTATCCTTTCTTCAGTCATCTTGTTATGGACTGGGAAAAATTATGTACCTAAGAATTACGGAAATCATATTTTTGCAAATATGCTTCTTTTTGGTACTTATTACATTTTGCTTTGTGTTATAGGTATTTGTGTACATATTATAGCCCAACTAGATTATAAATGACTTGCAAGCAAGAAAAGCCTATTTCATGATTATATTACCCATTAAGCCTATGTAGAACTTTGCACATAGTAGGTTCTCAATAGATATTGATAGATGTAGAATTATTGAATAATCGTGTAAAAAATTACTAAAAATTAACAGAGAAAAAGGAGGCTATTTTATTCTTAATCATATTGTAATGAAGACTATTTTAAACTGTATTCAGTGATGATACACACAAATATTTAAACTATTTATGTGCCTCAACTTGACATAATTTCATGATAAGTTGATGGCAATCACATTTAAATATATTAGAATATTTTTGTAATAATGCTACTCTAGAATAGCAACTTTAATAGCTGGGAAAACATGTTAATGGCCATTAACCTGAAGGAAACAGGGAACATTAAACATTTTTTTCAGAAATCAATGTATAAGTTTAAACATTCTACTATAATATTTATGAGCAAACCTCAAATTAAAATTTATAAAATGCAAACTATCAAATGTTTCAGTTAGATAATAATTTAGACTATATTTTATAATTTTTCCTGTGTACACATTGATGAATACCATATAAAAAAGATTCTTTTCTCCTTTAGTGTCTTTGACTATTACTATCTAATAGCAAAATGAATTCTACTTGAATGCAACACCATGGCAATCCTATAAAAGCCCTTGATTATCAAGCAATACGATATTAGTCAGTGAACACATGTAAGTGATTTTCCTTACCTTCAGGACAGCTATGAATGGTACAAAGTTAGCTCTTTGGAGTCCATTTTTATAAAGATCTGAAAGAAAAACTTGGTATTAGCTTTGTACTTAACCTAAATCATAACGTTAGCTTATAGTTTAGCCTGGCAAGTTTTCTACTGATAAAGAAGATAACAGAGTAAAAGAGAAGGAAAGTAACCAAAACTGATTTCTATTCTGGTATTACACAAAATTCATTCTATTCTTAATAAGAGAAAAAATTAACAATCACAGAAAGAAGATCAAAAGGCATTCAATCAAATTACCTTTAAACTATAATAAAAAGCAATGAAAGAATTGCTTTTCAAAATTCACAAATGATCCTAAATCAATAACTTAAGATAAGAAAATAATATATTGGAAGGTATTTGATATTTGAATATATAGGATTCTATTGGGAAAGGAATTATATTTTCCTTTTCTCAATCTATAATAAAAGTTCTCAGTACAGAATTAAAAGTGTGTAATAAGATTAGCCTTTTAAGAAAACACATCAATAGCTAGAACTGTGCATGTATTTGTATCACACTTATATATTTGACTTTAACGTAAATGACATTAAGGCCACTTTACTTTTAAAGAAATTACCTAAAAATTAAAACTCCATTCTTAAGACTGTAAATTTAATGCAATTATATGTCATAAACAGGTAGTATTTATTGCCTTACAATGATATTTTATATATATTTATGTGTCACAGTGTATGTATTTTTACACACATATACACACACATAAACATACATATTGTCAAGAGCAAACAAGCGGGAAGGGGCAACATATTGTAAGCTTTGCATATTTTTCTTTAAAAATAGAGACTTGGAATATTTTTTAAGAGGTAGAAATTTTATTGCATATGAAATGTTCCTGTTAAAAGTCAAATCTATAAACCCACACATCTATGGACAGCTAATCTTTGACAAAGGAGCCAAGAACATACAATGGGGAAAAGAAAGTCTCTTCAACAAATGGTGCTGGGAAAACTGGATAGCCACATGCAAAAAAATGAAAGTAGACCCTTACCTTACACCATACACAAAAATTAACTCCAAATGGATTA